TACTGTACTGGTCAATTACTAATGGACTCCGTTTGAGAAAATAGTAATCGCAAGGTGTGCATGTGCCTTGCTTGAATTTGCCAAATGCGAACACTCCAACGTCCATGCGTCCTATCCATGTTTAAGCGAGACGTCAAGGTTGGCTCATATTAACTTTCGCTGTCTGTTGGCTAGACCACATTCGACAACCTCCAACCGGGCCGGTCGCATTATGGTGTTTTGGGTGACGCTATTGAATGTTTTCACGGGTGTCGCCGATATTCTGCTTCGCCTCAGCCCAGTGCCAGACATATACAATGTCCACCGCAACAAAAACATCGGTGAAATGGCTGAACTGCCGCTTATTACGATGGTTATCAGTTGCCATTTGTGGTGCGTATCCGTGTAACCATGACGATATGAATTCAATGCTGACCTTGATGTGATGTACGATTGCCGTAGGATAACATACCGTTACGTCACGAACAGTTTCTTTCGTATCATGGGCTCTCAGCTCTTCGGTGAGATCTTTGGTATCGTATACAACATTATCTACTATCGGTGGAGCCCCGAGAAAAAACGCGTACGGCTCCGCAAGCTATACTTGATGGCCTTTGCAGTGTGGTGCATGATCACACTCTACGTGGTTTTCGGTGTCTCGGGTGTCTTCGACCAAAACAAGTCTGAGGTTGGCAAGTCTCTAGGATATGCTGGATGTGCTTTCAGTCTCTCGATGTTCGCGTCCCCATTGGCCACGCTCAAACACGTAGTCAAGACCAGGAACTCCGCTTCTATCCCGATTAACATGTGCACCATGATTCTGATTTCCAGCGCGCTGGGGGCAGGCTCGGGTTATCTAGATGACGACTATTTCGTGGCAGTGATCAATTTAATCGGCGTCCTATTGAGCTGCATACAGATAGTCATCTACTTCGTATACAGGCCCCAAACGAGTACTGACGTGGCAGTGCACCTAAGTGATGCGACGTTAAGCGTACTGTCTCCGAAGTCGAAGGCACATAGCACGATTCTCGTCGAGAGCCCTGTGTGTTACAATATTTCGTTGTCGCCGCTGGTAAGGGAGAAAGCAGCAGACCAATAATATAAATTTTCACTTCATCTCATTTCAGTTTAACTTTCTGCTATTGTACTGCAAAAAAGTGTATTTAGCAGGCTTTAGTATAACTTTTCTGTAATTGTGCTTCAGAAACAATATATCGACAACAATTTAGCAGTGTTTTATTTTTTGAAATGGTCAGAGAACCTAGCAAGCAACGTGCCTTATCTGCGCGCCCTGAATTGTGTTGGCCAACCTCTTATGCGCCGCCGACACTTGCTCAAAATTTCAGTTAGAAGCTATAAATTACTACTTGAATGGCACCTGCATACATTTAATCTCAGGTACTTAGATTTATCATGTCAGTTGTTTGCATCGTATGTTCCCATTATCAGCGCTCGACTTTCGTGATGTATTGGAAAAATAGACCACAGTATCTACTATTTTTAATGAGTTACTTCATTTTCAATATGTGACTCGCAGATCTACAAATAGCATCAAGACCGTCACTACCTATTTGTTGGTCTTGCCGCGCTAACCATGAATACGCTACCGGTTTAAAACTTCAAATACAGAGACTGCGTTGAAATCGTATTAGAGCATCTCCAGCGCTGACCTTATTTTCATGTTTTAACGAGTCGCTTATCAAAACCTTTAGTTTTAAAATAAGTCTGCGTCGCGAAGGGTAGCTGCTACCAGGAGGTACGAACTCGAGTCTTAACTAAATTGAAAATATATAGGATGTGCATCCTTGCGCAACTGTCGAGTTTAATCTTATCGTGCACGCCACAGCTTTTGATCACACTTCGTAGCGATGTTCCTCGCGAAAGCCTACCCCACCCTACGTCATTCCTACTATTTTCAGCGAGTTCAATGAATGGACTTTTTTTTTCTCCTGCACCGCACTAACTGCAGAGTAACCCATGGCTTTTCAATCACGACCGCGCAGCTAGGTAGTCTCAGCTTCATGATTGTCGAGTACAAAGCATCGTTTTCGATTGATATCACCTTTCAATAGTGAAACAAAGTCAAGATGATTGAGATTCTAATTCAAATTTTACGACCGCAATGACAAATGAGAGGTTAACGTGCATCTTCGTTAATGCCTTACATTAAGACACAGAGAAGGGTTATCTTCGTAATAAAAATTGATGTGAAGAGGTAAAGCAGTCACCAAGCATTTTGTTTTTACTCTACCGTCAGCGGACAAGACCATCGTGTGTAAACCGCTGGGGAGCAAGTAGGACAAGATTAGTGAAATGTTGTCAGAATCCAAATTGTATTAGCTTAAATCATCGCGATCCAAGCTCGTGGATTAGTAGACTTTTAAGTAAAGTAGGTATTTACGAGTCTCCACTGATAACACACGCACATGCCAGAACGCATCGATATTATAAATAGAGACGATTCGCAAACGGACTTACGAGAGTGTTCGATTCAGTGTAGCAGCTTGGAGTCGCATCACAATGTCGAGTGCTGCTGCCGTCGATGAATTCTCTCCAGGCTAACTTGGTGGTTTATTAGTTAACAATATAACCAGATTAGCTTGACTGTATTCTCTATGTACTAGTTAAAAAAAAGTAACTTTCAATGAGGTTACTCAGTGAGGGTAATAAATTCAAGTGAAATTTCGTTTTCTTTCCTTCAATATAAACATATATGTAAATTCTCTAGCTCCAACGAACAAATTTGTGGGGGGGGGGGGGGAACTTGAATCGCGTTTTGGAAAGGACAGCATCTACGAGCGTCAAACAGCTTGAAATACTGCGGGAATTACCCCACTTGTTTGGTGTTGCAAATGCGAGATCAGTACGAGGAAGTCACGTCATGCTTCTTTAGCACTCCAGGAGTAACGAAGTTGCCATTCTAGTTTGCAATTTTTTGAAGTAGTAGCCTGATATATAAGCAGACACGATTCACGATGCTCTGGTGTGAGTATGCAAAAGCAAGCATACTAGACTTTAAAGTGGGTTTGTAGAGTAGCATGCTCCGAACAAATTTATTGGTTGAGACTGCCACCTTTCAAACTTATGCGTGCATAGATTTTGTTAAATTTCAGGGCTTTGTTTTGTGTGTAGTGCCCACGATAAACATGAGTAGCCTAGTCACTTGCAGCGTACAGCAACTGTTACATCCTAGTTCTTGCCCTTCTTGTTGCGCTTCTGAGAAGAAGCCGACGTCGTCTTGGTCGTCGTCGTTTTGGCAGGGACATTCAGAGGCGCATTCAAACTCTGGTTAATACTAGCCGTTTTCTTCACAACTTTGCGCTTCGTCTTGTAGCTGCGCTTGCGGGATCCGCAGCACAAACCACACGTAAGCACGCACAGCGCCGTGGTGAACAGCCACCACACGAGGCGCAACGCGAGGCGGATCTGGAATAGGACCAGTGGAATCGCCAGAAGGATCAGCACTCCATCAATAACCTTCTGAGCGTGGTGCGCCACGTATTCGTTCTTCTCCAACAACGTGATCGCTTCAATACGCGCAATCTTGGCACGGCGCAGAGCCTCCTGTGAGTAGACCACGACTTGCTCCTTGGCCTTAGCAGCTTCATTCTGCACAATAGGCACGTATTTCTCCACGTGCGGGCTCACGGTCTTGTGTACATCCTCCCAGATCGGGTCCACCGTCTTCTGTACATCCACAAGAATCGGATCTAACGTCGATGCCAGGTTCTCCTTGTAGAACTTGCTAGTCGTATCGCACGCTGTCTTCTTGGCGTTTTCAATATGGACCTGCACTTGTTCAAGTGTACCCGACTGCTCATTCAACGTATCCTGAGCATAAACAGCGGCTTGCTCCGCCAGCACCAACGCGTCATCGTAATACGACGACAGCAGCGAGGCCATGGTGAGCTCCACGGACTTGGCCTCGCTGAGATCCTTAAGCAACGCCTTGTTCTTCTTCTCAAAGGTCTCTTTGCTCTTCTCCAGTTGCGCAGTCTTCTTGGTCTGCTCGGCCAGTTTGGCCAGCGCCGCCTTCAGTTCGGCGTCCCTCTCAGCAACTGCAGTTCGCTCTGTGGCCAGCTTGTCCAGTGCGCTCTTGAGCTCAGCGTCGGACTTTTCCACGGCCTTTTTTTCGATGGCCACGTCCTTTTCGAGCGCTGCAATCTCGTCCTGCAGCTTCAACACGACTGCTTCATGCTCCTTGGCTACACCA